TCCAACTACACACAAAGACAAAAGAAACCAGCACAGACTGTTTGCTGTCCCAGAGAGAATTCTTTACACTCAGGAGAGAGGTGCAGAAGCATCACTGACAGACAGCACAACAACCACCTGCCCCGTACGCCTGCTTCTCAAGTCTGTGTCAGAAAAACGTCCTCCCAAAACAGCAGGTGCTACTGGAAGACTAAAGACTGGAATGTGTTAGTGTTTTGCAGTCTTTCACCAAGTGTTCACAAACCACTATACAGACTTGGACAGCAACAGATGGGAAGTGTTCCACATTCATCAGGTGTTCTGCATCGCTGTGGAGTCAGCCACACTGCCTGTGTCCACTGACTGAACTGGCATTCCTATCATTGCCACGATTAGAACTGAAGCATCAAGTGCTTCAGGATATTCTACAGCTTTTGGGACCCTCCATCTGCGACTGGTATTTTTTGCTCTTGGTTACAATCCACAGACACACGTCCTGCAACCACCACAGTCTCAACGTGCTCATCATCCAGAGGAACAAGAGAGATTCGGAGTAGGGGAAACTGAGTCACAGAGGAATGTCACAGCTTATTCATGGGGAAAATAGCACGTTTCTAACAGTAGCAGAAAAGGAAACACTTAGCATTATCAAAATTTTTACCAGTCTCCCTTCTTTCCCACATCCAGTATATTGAAAAAAAGGCTTGTCCCTATTTTCTTCTGCTTCATGAGCACTTGTTTAAGTATTAAGAAGTACAAAAGGAAAAAGACTCCCAGATATCACACTATGAGGCTAATTGACTGGTTTGAACTGCTCATTTTTCCCCATCCCTCACATCTTAAGAAGTCATAACAGTAATATCAAAAGCAGCAGCTGAAAAACTCTATCAATGAGCCCTTAAAAGAAAATTCAGATAGATACAGCAGAGGCAGTCATAATGAACCAAGGCCCTACAAGTCCCTGACCCAATACCTGAAACATCCAGGAATCTAAACATCTGCAGAGTTCACTGATCTTGATGTGTAGAGGAAACAAAGGTACTGACATTATTTGTTGTCCAGCTTGCTTCCTTCCTGCCCCCCAGCATTACTGAAATCCTTTTTCACGAGTCATACATGGTCCTGGCTCTCAGAAAAACCTGTCCAGAAGGCAGCCTTTCATAGAGGTGAGAATCTCAGTGTCAGAATCAGTGCATCCTTACACACTGCTGCTGGTCAGGAGCACTCTGGGCAACACAGTTTTGGGCAATTTTTCCTTCTTGTTTTTTTTACTTGGAGCAATTGCTTTCATACAAGCCTATTTCGCTTCTACACAACCTTCTACATGTCCTCCTTCCATTGTCTTCTCCCCTCTTGCATCAAAACCCAATTTAGAAACTGGTCAATACTGAGAAGTTCAGAGGCAAACATGTTTTACCAGGACAATTCACTGCAGGTTGAATTGTCATTTTCCCAGGGAAGTACTCATTTTCCCAGGGAATACTGGTCCCTACCATAGCCATGGGCAGCACCTGCAGGAGGCACAGGGTGTCCTCACTAATCATTCTTGCTGTACACACAGTAAATCCAGTGCTTCCCAACGTGCCAGATACACTGCTGCAATCACACATCCTCCAAAGGGTTCAACTGGCTGCAGGGCACAGCTGGGAAAGGCTGTACCATGCAGACCTTCTTTAATCTAAGGGGTCTTTGTGACATTAGAGATCAGACATAAAGGACTTAAATGACTTAGAGGATCAGTGAAAGAGACACATGTGAGAAAAAGGGCAATTTAATTATTTTGCTTCCATCCATTCCCAGGGATGACAGCAGCTCATTTGCACAAACGAAAAAAAATAGAGATTTCAAAGACTTATCTTAAAAATCCTTCCCTTTCAATTTCTCTGCAATTGTTCTTGTGAACAGAAACAAAATTATGATGGAAGCAAGCAAATTCCAAGCTAACAAACATGGGCAATCCTTCAGTTATAAATTCTTGTAAAACACAGGAGGGGCTGGGAGGGTATCCATGTTTTGCCATCAAAAGACAGAAAATTGGAACAAAGAATACAACTGTAGAAATGGGGATATCTAAATCTTGAGAGACCCTATAGAGTTCACAAGGAGCTGTTAACCACAGAAAGCCTTTTTTTTATTAGGATGATTTAGAAGAAGAGAAAGGACACTCCTGGATTGAAAATGAATAAATATCAGCTACCAATACTCAAAAACCCAAACCAACCATTGAAAACCTTGCATGCAACCAGGTCCTACAAAGATCAGTGAAATACTTCCTCATGGCAACCGAACCTCCATAGTATGGTCTCCCAAGATTTTACTATTGCTATTTCCAACCTCAGCTGAAGTTTTCAAGGCCTTCTGCTTTGCTAGAAAACACAGGCTGTAGTAAAAGTAACTGAAAACCCAATAAGCTTTGCATTTTCTCTAAACCACTGCAGAGACCTCCAACATCAGAGTGACACCCTTCAGTCACCCCAAGCACTCCATCTCTGTTGAAGTTCTGTAACAGCTAGAACAGGAAACTGTTTTCTTGTCTTAGAATATTTCTACTTCAAGAGTTCATAGCAAGTAACTCAAAATACAACAGTACACTAAGATTTGTTTTAGAATAAACTATTACATGATTATCTACATACTTCTATCCTTCTGATGGATATCTTCAAAGAGCACAAGATACAAACTAATGCAGAGTTCACTGAATAGGCATTACAGTATTTTCTGCATTACTGCTGACATCTTGCTTTTTACAGCTTTATGCTGGGGGTTTGTATTAAAAATAAGCTGTTCAAACAATTAAAGGTTTTTTCTCTCTCAAAGCAGATAAATTCTAATCATCATTTTGTTTTCTAAATCACAGCTATCAACACTGCTTGTCCCAAGTCTTTGGCAAAGTTACAGGACTGAAGGAAACAGTGAACTCAAGAGCTGCTGGCCTTGGAGCACACAGAAGCAATCTCCACTATTCAAAGACTATTTTGTGCTCTCTTACTTGTAATGGTGGCTTAAAGATGTTTAGCCCTTAACAATACATACTAAAGACAAAGGCTTAGAGCCTCAAAGGGGTTTACACAATTTTAATCTCCCAGTCCCCCACTTGGCATTGTGTGTCTGGGCTGGCACTAAGCAGAAGCCCATGGAAGCTAGGCATTAATTGCTGTGCAAACAAAAAGAGCAGGTCACAGGTTCAAAAGAGATGAAGGAAGGCTCTTAAAGCATGGAACCTTTTGGCACAGGGTGCTGGGCAAGATAAAAGCTTGTGCTTGAAGTTCTCTAAGCTCTACTCTCTGCCCAGCTTGAGCCAGATCAAAATACACGAGACAAGTAAGAGCTTTTGGCCTTGCACTTCAGGGAAGGTAAAAAACTTTGCCCTCAACACCCCTCCCAATTCAGGAAACCACAACCCTACCACCAAAGCCCTACAACCAGAGTTGGCTTTTTTCAGACCCCCCAGCAGCTGTTCACAGCCCTCATCCCTCTTGCAGCTGTAGATGCATCATGTACTTCCCTCCTTAACACAGCAAAGAAATAGCAAACAAACAAAGCTGAAACACTTGCATGTACAGGCACATTTTGCCCTCAACACCAGTGAGAGAGCTACATGCAGAAGACATAGCTACTCACAACTGCAGCTTTCTTACCAGCCAAAAAAGCCCTTCAGTTTTGCAAACATACAAGAAAATGAGTCTTCCCAGTTTCCTCAGCCCAGCTTTTGGCTGATCTGCCTTCATTCTTGCTGAGAAAGGATATTTCACTCTCCCTTTCTGCTTCACTTCTTTCAAAACATGGAGCTCCTTGCTAGGTAACTATTCCTAGGTATCAAATTCCCAGTTGGATGATTTGACAATCAGTGACAATATAACATGTTTTTCCCATTATAAGCAGGCTCTGCTCTATTAGCTGTGTCCTTATAATCAGATTCATCATAAAAGTAGACACAATTTATGTATTTAGAAATTTTATCAGGAGCACACACACACACAACCACCTAAAAATCCCAAACCCATTATGGACATACTTCATTCAAAACACCAGTTTTCAATGATATTAATCTAAATTAATTTAGACATCAAGATAACGTTTAAATAGATTAATACTGCTTCTCCCCAAACCCACAGATTCTCTTCTTCCAGTATCAAGTCATTACAGTACCAGGATAGGATTCCTGTTTGTTGTTTACAGTGACTGCTTAAACCCTGATCCATCCTTTGACCCAAGCTTGTTAGAGAATAAAGCTGAGAATTCTGGGATGATAAACTTAGAACCTACCCTTCCCAGGATGTCAATATTGTAGCTACATTTTCCCATTATTTTATTATGTTATCCCAGAGAAGACATCTTCTGCTGCTTCATGGAAAAAACCACTTACGAACTGACCAGAGAGCACTAAAAGAAACACTTATTTTCCAAATATGCAAATTTTCTATCCACAGTGCAGGCTTTTGTCAAACTTCCTGCTCACACAAAGTAAGCAGACAAAGGAAAAGATTAAGTATCTGTAAATACAGTGTAATCACAATGCTGTAGTCTTTTACACCTATCCTATTAATATATCTATTCAGATCTGTAAATACTTTTTTTAGATAAATTTTAACCTGTAGATACTGGAGGTCCTTATATAAGGAAGAGAAGGAGAACTTTTAGCTAAAAGGTTTTGCTCTAGCAAATGAACCTAAACCCTCAAAGCAATACAATGTGTGCACAGAACAGCAGAGAGAGAAAATTTACAAGAAATCCTTGCTTGCAAAACATTTTGCATACCATGAGTCTACTAACCATCAAGCACATTTTTCTTTACCAAAATTCATTGTTGTTTTAACTTGTGTGCAGTCAATTCACACACATGTCACACAAGATGACTCAGGACTCATTCAGAGGATGTAGCTTTATGTGCAAGAACCAAACATGGCATCACTTGTTTCAGCCCCCAGTGCTGACATCTCCCCATGGAACTGCACCAGCAATAAAGTAACAGGCAACAGAAACTACCACAAAACATACAAACCAACTTAAGTTATACTCACTGTAATTTGGGAAGCATCCATGAATTGCAGGCCAAAGTAATCCGTTTCTACAAGGTCCAAATGATACACAATCTGGTCAAACAACTCCTGTCCCTTTGCATGTTTCTGTAACAGAAAAGAAAACACTTTTTAAAAAAACTAGCCAGTGTGGATTTGTTTTTGGTGTGTTGCTTTTCAAGTTCAAGCATGTGAGAAGAGATACACAGAAGAAAATAATATCAAAAGAGCAATTCTATTTATTCTGAATAATTGCATTGACATATCTTTTATTTTCCTCAGGAAGCAGAGAGTGAGATGCCATTCTTGTCTGCAACTATTCCAACAGCATCAGATTTCACTCTCAAAGCAAGCTTTCAAAGTTCATCATAATTAAAAACATACAAGAGAAAGGGAAGGGTTATGCCCTACTTAGTGTCCTAAGTCACAGAGCCATCATTTTGTACCCCAGGAAGTCAGATTCTCCAGGAAAAGCTTGATTAAAATACACTGCCTGAAATCTGCTGGCTACCAACAGCAACTACAGTCATGCAGTGCCACACCACCACTGAAGCTGCAAAATAAATTCTGGACAGCCTGAACACTTGAAGAGCACTGTGAAGAAAATTAATGGGATTTGATAATATTTCATCTATGTTGCCAATTGCCATAATATTTACAGCCTTTAAATGAAGAAACAAGGGCCAAAAAAGCTGTAAATCTTACTTGGCATGCCATCTGAAACTGGCAGGCATGGAAATAAAAGTTAACAACGAAAACCCCAACTATGGCCTAAAGGTAAGGGTAGAAAACTTGGCAGATCTTAAAGGTAGGCTGCATTGGCCTGGGTACTTGTTTTGAGGTTAAGGCAAGAAGTCTTCAGCACTAGAAAACCGAAGTTTGCACATGACAGGTGGGCTGAAGAAAAAGGCAACAACAAACCAATTTTTCATGCAAATCCTGTTGAGTTACTTCGGGAAGAAAGTTTTCAAGTTCTTGAGCAAAATCATCCCTTGGCCATAAATACATGAGACAATCATAAATCTGAGCAAGAGACTGAAGCTACAGCTGTACTTCATACAGGGAAGTACTGACCAGGATCCACTTTTGTAACTGCTGTCCTCTTACAACTTTAAGAAGTTTTTTTTTCATTTTTTAAAACTAACATATTAGGAATTCCAATTTACCCCAAAATGTAGCAAAATTCACAGTTAAGCATTCAGTTCCCTTAGTTTGGTCTTCTGCACAAAGGCACCATCAATTATAACATGCAGAAGTCCTGTTCAGGGTTCTAGGCTGTATAAAATCAGTTTTCTTCAGCAACAAGCAAGATCACGAGTTACACCTCTGTTTTTCCAAGAAAGTCAAGCAAGCTCAAGTATAGGAAGCAAATTTTATTTAAGTTGTATTTTTTAGGGTTCTTTAACTAACAAAACAGAAGAACAGAAATTGAATTGTATCAAATTTCAAGAGCAGAATTAAAGCTCCATAAAAGTTTAACACCAACATTAAACTGTCATTGTAAGATACTGTTTCATTATTTTGAGGAGGGCAAGAGGCAGATAATAGACATTAGTAACCAAAGTTCAACATTCCATTAAAGGCAGATGAGACTACAATGGCCTCTTAAAACAGTACATTGCTAAGAAGTGATCATCTTTACTTGTACTGTAATTGTTACAAACTGAATAAAAAGTATCTAGAACATATTTTCTCATATGGAGTAAAATCAGCACTTGTTAAAGGAAGCCAAGCCAAATCTCAACAAAATTAAAACACATCTTGCTTAAGTGAGGGAGGAGAAAACCCTCAAAAGCAATAAAGAGAAACGGCAGAACATGAAAAATTCAGAAGTAGGAAAAATGCACTTGATGCCCTACTCTGCCCATGGTTGCTTGCTTTATGGCATTAACTACCAGTATATGTTTATCTTCCACTGCCACACACCCAATAGAAACCAGAGAGAGCACACTCCACCTTCTGCACCCAAGCAGTAGTTAATGTTTAACATGTGTTACATGCAGAATAGCTCTGCACTGCACAGCTAGACCATAAAATGCAGTACTACATACACAGCTTACAGGAGATTGTAACATTTAACTTGTCACTAAATGAGCTTTCCCAGCAACTTGTACCCCTTAAATGATAAAGCTGCTGCAGCTAGCAAATTGCTGACCCAAAACTCTCTTTGAGATGTTGCACTACAGGGGGAGAGAAAAGCGACTGACTCCTTTCCTCTACTAACAGTAAAGGATTACCTGTTCTTTATTCTGCCTCATCACTGACTGACAATCCAGCAGGTCAGATTGTGGACTGATAAATTAATGTGCACTGAAGGAAATGGGTGGAATAGTCAAAATGGAAGACTTTTTTAGCTTTTTTTTTTTTTAGGCATTACATATGCATGATAGTAGTCTCGAAAGCAAAAAAATTTGATTTTCATCATCCTTTTCTTCTCCCCTCTTCTAGACAAAACAGTAGCTAAAAGACATGTTTCCCCTTTCAAAATCTGGTACCACATAAAGACGATTAAATTACTGTGTACAGTAAAATGTTCATAGTAGATATAATAATCTGGAATTTAATAAATCACACTCTCTCTATGGACCTTTGACTTGTGCTTATTTTCTGAAGATACAGCTAAAAACCCCCAACCATAAACTAAAAATATTTTGCCGTCATACCTTGCTAGACAGATGGTTCAGAAGTATCAGATGTAAATGGCCTGCATAACTTTTATCTCACAAAATTAAGTACATGGCAACAAACAGTATGCATATACTAGTAAACAGAGTTGCTATTTTGTTGGTATGGAAGTTACTATAATTGGGAACAGTGATGTAAGAAAACTTACAAAACCTTGTGTTGACTTGGGTGTTTTTGTTTGTTTCTGTTGGGTTTTTTGTTTTGTTGGGTTTTTTTGTCTTTGCTTTCTGTTTTTGGTAGGGTTTTCTTTTTGGTTTGGGAGTTCTTGTTTGGGTTTTTTTTGTTTTTGTTTTGAAACATCAATTAAAGCACTGCCAGTTTCCGGTAGAGTGTTCCTTGGAACTCAGGAGAACTTGTGTGAGCACCATGAAACCTCTCAGGCAAGCACTGGGAGGGTGGGCATGAAATGTTCAGCTTACAAACAAAACTACAGCTGCAACCTGAGGCATAACTGAATTAGCATGAGGCAGGCACTTGATGAAACACAAAAACTCAATTACACGTGCAGACTGGGAACCTCCCTGATAATGAGCAATCACTGAGAGAAAGGAGAAAAAAAAGTTTCTCGTATCAGTCGCCCCTGTTCCACCTAACAGTTATGAGAGTTTTGTCCACTGTTTCATTAAAGCCATTCTCAAATAAAACCCCATATCATCTTCCTTGGGATCATCAATCACACTCAGAGAGAATTCTTATGTTAAATCAGGACTCGCTGCAAATCCTACGAGGACTCCAATTGGGATGGGTACAAAGCACCTTGCACAACAACAGTGACAGCTGCATGGCCCACATTTCAAGTAGGCTACATTTTCTGCTGCCAGAGAGTTCCCAGTCTCAGGGAATCTATGGAAATTCCTGTCAGCTAAAACATGACAAAACAAAGATTAACTTCTCTAATTAGAAACTCTTCCAGACTTGACATGGAAATAGGCAAGAGATTTTAATGTGCTTCTGGGTAGACATGAAGGAAAGAGAACACTGATCAGCCAGGGACATTTTACACCAACTGGCCCTGTCTAAACAAGCTGATTATTGTTGATCTTAGCTATTCCAGAGCTCTTTGAAAGGTTTTTGCCAAAGGGCATGAAAAGTGGACATACATGCCAGAAAAGTCCCATTTTAGAGCAGATACAGTGCAAGGATGCTACTGATCACTCTCAGAGCACATACAAGCAGAGCTGGAGAGTTTCTGCCCACATTTTCCCCAAACCCAAGTGCAGTTACTTGAACCCAAGTGGAGAGACTGAAATTCTTGAGTCATATTAGAGAGCTCAGACTACAGGGCTACAAACAAACAATTAATAGATTTCAGAAACAGTTGAAGCACTGCTTGGGAAAACAACCTGTCAAATAGGCCAAGAGGTACATGAAATAGTCTACCAGCTGCCAAAATGACAACCAAAATTAAGGAAAATAAGCTATCACCAAGAGAAAAGTCAAAGCCAATTAGCTTTCCAACCAAAGCCAATGCATCTCAAACTGAATAGTGAGTAGGAACAGCAATGGGTAGGTAGGGCAGGCTTAGTTTCTGTTTTGAAAGAAAGCACAAGATTATGGATTCTGCAATATGTTAAATACTTTTTCAGAGTGGGCTGCTGTGGTCTGGTGGTCAGTCACTCCAGGTCTGAGTTTCTAGTAAATTCTAAAAGCCACCTTTTAGCTAGCAAGTCTCACCTCCACAGGCCTGATACTGCCCTGCTCTGATGGCACCAGCATTTCCTCTCCTTGGCACCTCCTGAAAACAACAGTAGCTCAATATGTTCTGCTCCATCCTCTTACACCTGTTAGTGTTAACCTGAACTGTTATTAACTCCATTTTCAAACCTAAAGCTCATTTTCAAACTCAAGGCTTTAGCTTAGCAGTGAGAATTTGCTTTGCCTTTTAGCAGTCACTGGCAGTGCTGTCTCCAAGTGTCTCAGACAGGCTAAATGTGCATAAAAGCCATCTGTGCTCCTAATTAGCCTTGACTCCTGGTGCTCAGTTATCATCTGTCCTTTAACTTGCTTTCTTCTGGATAGTCAAGCCCTCAGTTGCTCAAACACACTCAGCTGTACTGAAAGCCAGCAGTAGTTCCATATTTTAAACACAAAAATGCAACTGTTCTACATTCTTATAAATCCAGGGTATCCAGCAGCTTCAGCCAAGTACATGTTGGAGGCCATGGCTGGGCTTGCAAAAGCTGCCCTGAAAACCATGTGATCCATCCCAGTAGTGCTGCTGCAGGCAGTATTGTCAGAGTCAGCCACTTGTGCTCAAATTCCATTGTGCAAGCTGCCATCCAGAGAGGACACACTACAAACCAGCCATGACCTGGGTGCCTGTCCTACCCTCCTCTGGTGGCCTAATGGTGGCCCTTCACATTTGGAAGAGTGGGGAAAGAGTTGCATTTTTTGTGCTTGAAATCATGCAAATACTACTTCGT